CCTACGTGACGTGTTTATTGACCAATCATCCACCGCGACGGGGGGTCCTCGCGCAATTTTGAAGCTTCTGGGCAAAGTATAGCACCTTATGGGAAAGTATAGCACCTTTTAGCCAAAGTATAGCACTATATTGTAAAATATAGCACTTTATTGGCAAAGTATAGTACCTTATTAGAAAAGTATAACACCTTATGCTTTCTGGAAATTCTGCATCTTAAGTGTCTAAAATCAAATCAGTTTTTTCGCCGCGACGAAACCACTCGATGACCTAGGTGACGTGTTTATTGACCAATCATCCACCGTGACGGGGGGTCCTCGCGCAATTTTGAAGCTTCTGGGCAAAGTATAGAACCTTATGGGAAAGTATAATACCTTTTGGCCAAAGTATAACACTATATTGGAAAGTATAGCACTTTATTGGCAAAGTATAGCACTTTATTGGCAAAGTATAGCACCTTATTGGTAAAGTATAAAGTATAGCACTTTATTGGCAAAGTATAGCACTTTATTGGCAAAGTATAGCACCTTATTGGTAAAGTATAGCACCTTATGCTTTCTGAAAATTCTGCACCTTAATTGTCTAAAATCAAATCAGTTTTTTTCGCCGTGACGAAACCTCTCGACGACCTACGTGACGTGTTTATTGACCAATCATCCACCGCGACCGGGGGTCCTCGCGCAATTTTGAAGCTTCTGGGTAAAGTATAGCACCTTATGGGAAAGTATAGCACCTTTTGGCCAAAGTATAGCACTATATTGCAAAGTATAGCACTTTATTGGAAAAGTATCGCACCTTATTGGTAAAGTATAGCACCTTATGCTTTCTGGAAATTCTGCACCTTAAGTGTCTAAAATCAAATCAGTTTTTTTTCGCCGTGACGAAACCTCTCAACGACCTACGTGACGTGTTTATTGACCAATCATCCACCGCGACGGGGGTCCTCGCGTAATTTTGAAGCTTCTGGGCAAAGTATAGCACATTATGGGAAAGTATAGCACCTTTTGGCTAAAGTATAGCAATATATGGCAAAGTATAGCACTTTATTGGCAAAGTATAGCACCTTATTGGCAAAGTATAGCACCTTATGCTTTCTGAAAATTCTGCACCTTAAGTGTGTAAAATCAAATCAGTTTTTTTCGCCGTGATGAAACCTCTCGACGACCTACGTGACGTGTTTATTGACCAATCATCCACCGCGACGGGGGGTCCTCGCGCAATTTTGAAGCTTCTGGGCAAAGTATAGCACCTTATGGGAAAGTATAGCACCTTTTGGCCAAAGTATAGCACTATATTATAAAGTATAGCACTTTATTGGCAAAGTATAGTACCTTATTGGCAAAGTATAGCACCTTATGCTTTTCTGGAAATTCTGCACCTTAAGTGTCTAAAATCAAATCAGTTTTTTTCGCCGTGATGAAACCTCTCGACGACCTACGTGACGTGTTTATTGACCAATCATCCACCACGACGGGGGATCCTCGAGCAATTTTGAAGCTTCTGGGCAAAGTATAGCACCTTATGAGAAAGTATAGCACCTTTTGGCCAAAGTATAGCACTATATGACAAAGTATAGCACTCTATTGACAAAGTATAGCACCTTATTGGCAAAGTATAGCACCTTATGCTTTCTGAAAATTCTGCACCTTAAGTGTGTAAAATCAAATCAGTTTTTTTGCCGCGACGGTGGATGATTGGTCAATAAACACGTCACGTAGGTCGTCGAGAGGTTTCTTCGCGGTGAAAAAAACTGATTTGATTTTAGACACTTAAGGTGCAGAATTTTTAGAAAGCATAAGGTGCTATACTTTTCCAATAAGATGCTATACTTTGCCAATAAAGTGCTATACTTTACAATATAGTGCTATACTTTGGTCAAAAGGTGTTATACTTTCCCATAAGGTGCTATACTTTGCCCAGAAGCTTCAAAATTGCGTACTTTGGTCAAAAGGTGTTATACTTTCCCATAAGGTGCTATACTTTGCCCAGAAGCTTCAAAATTGCGTGAGGACCCCCTGTCGCGGTGGATGATTGGTCAATAAACACGTCATCTAGGTCGTCGAGTGGTTTCGTCACGGCGAAAAAAACTGATTTGATTTTAGACACTTAAGGTGCAGAATTTCCAGAAAGCATAAGGTTCTATACTTTGCCAATAAGGTGCTATACTTTACCAATAAAGTGCTATACTTTGCCATATAGTGCTATACTTTGGCCAAAAGGTGCTATACTTTCCCATAAGGTGCTATACTTTGCCTAGAAGCTTCAAAATTGCTCGAGGACCCCCCATCGCGGTGGATGATTGGTTAATAAACACGTCACGTAGGTCGTCGAGAGGTTTCGTCGCGGCGAAAAAAACTGATTTGATTTTAGACACTTAAGGTGCAGAATTTCTAGAAAGCATAAGGTGCTATACTTTGCCAATAAGGTGCTATACTTTGCCAATAAGGTGCTATACTTTGCCAATAAAGTGATATACTTTACAATATAGTGCTATACTTTGGCCAAAAGGTGTTATACTTTCCCATAAGGTGCTATACTTTGCCCAGAAGCTTCAAAATTGCGCGAGGACCCCCCCGTCACGGTGGATGATTGGTCAATAAACACGTCACCTAGGTCGTCGAGTGGTTTCGTTGCGGCGAAAAAAACTGATTTGATTTTAGACACTTAGGGTGCAGAATTTCCAGAAAATATAAGGTGCTATACTTTGTCAATAAGGTGTTATACTTTGCCAATAAAGTGCTATACTTTGCCATATAGTGCTATACTTTTGCCAAAAGGTGTTATACTTTCCCATAAGGTGCTATACTTTGCCCAGAAGCTTCAAAATTGCTCGAGGACCCCCCGTCGCGGTGGATGATTGTTTTATCGCGGTGAAAAAACTGATTTGATTTTAGACACTTAAGGTGCAGAATTTCCAGAAAGCATAAGGTGCTATACTTTACCAATAAGGTGCTATACTTTGCCAATAAAGTGCTATACTTTACAATATAGTGCTATACTTTGGCCAAAAGGTGCTATACTTTCCTATAAGGTGCTATACTTTGCCCAGAAGCTTTAAAATTGTACGAGGACCCCCCGTCACGGTGGATGATTGGTCAATAAACACGTCACGTAGGTTGTCGAGTGTTTGCATTGCCCTAAAAAAACTGATTTGGCTTATCACAATAAGTTGCTGAATTTCCAGCGACCATAAGGTGCTATATTTTATAGATAAGGTGCTATACTATTGCCATAAGGTGCTATACTTCATCAATAAGCTGCTATATTTTTCCATAAAGTGCTATACTTTATCAAAAGCTAAAAAATTGGGCGAGTACCCCTCGTCGAGGTGGATAATTGGTCACGCGACACATAATATTGCCCAATAGGCTGTAGTTAACACAACCTACCATCAAAATTTCTTCAGTTCAATCAGTGCATCAGTTCATTACAGATATTCATATCTATCAACCACTAAACTCAAGCACATAACATTGAATGAAAATAATCCATGAAGATTGAATGGAAATAATCCAAAATCACCACTATCGAAACGTTGTATACATTTCTACTAGATACATTTCTACTAGTTACACTGATAAATTTGATACAACATGATACATTGGATAGTGCATTTGATACAATATACACACAAATCATCTATATATACATAATATAGAAAATTTCATACAACACGATACATTGGATACTACTTGGTACATCATATTGCAGGCTGTAGTTGATTTGCCGTTTGGGTTGCAATGTGACAGCAATGCGAAGATCTGATCGAATGCCAATAGTGGGGGATTCTCTCATGTATTTGATTCGAAAGTTAGTGTGCATTGACGAATGGTTTCTGATTGAGGGGTAGCTGTGCTTTACGTTAGGTGTTGACGACAATAGAAAATGGTGAGGTGCATCCGGAGGGCGTAGGAAGGCATACCGATGGGCTAAGATCATGGCGGCCCACAAAACCAAACTTCTCTTAGACTTTTCATCAAACACCTCTATTGCCTCCTCAACCAATAGCAATATGGCATAACCGCTAATCGTTGTGGTCCAAATAACTACATCCATTTTGTCATTCCATCAAACACCTTCTGTGCATCAACCTAGTCATCAAAACATAGATATATATGAGCAAAATTGTTATGCACATACCATTTCATGAAGCATAAGCTTGATAAGAATCCATCAATTTATAAGAACAATACATCTTTAACAAGCTATTGCCAAAAAAACCCAAAATTTCAAAAGTTAGCATATAGTATTGGAAAACATACAGTATTGGAAAACCTAAAATTTTCAAAATGTTAACAAGCTATTGATGTAGGATTAGTGTCATCTATGAGGATAAATATTAATGGAGGAGAGAGATTGCTCAAGAAGAGAGGGGAAATTAATGGAGGAGAGAGAGAAGGAGAGAGTAATTGAAGATGAGTACCAAATTGGGAGTTGGTGAAGTGGGAGAGCAGCCCGCCGTTTTCTCCTGCCATTATCGCATTGATGCTCTGCTGTTAGCGGTGATCAGAAGAAGAGAGAAAGGGAGAAGAAGAGAGAAAGGGTAGTATTGGGTTTTTCAAATTTGGGTAAAATACAGTATAAAGATGGAGAGGTATAATAGAATTAGGTTTAAAAATAAGTCATATGGGTACAATGGGTTTATTAATGTTTAGAAAAGTGGATGGGTTTTTAAATAAGTGGGGGTAAAACTTTGGGTTAAAAGATGATTTTCCCTAGATTTTATTAGGCTTCGGATCCTCTCCATGTTGAGAGCTCATGTCTGGGGCATATTAGTGGATCCACATCGAGATCTTCAGAGACCTGACTTAAATGAATCACTTGGAAAAAATTAGAACTAATTCAATGGAACCACGTTGAAATTTTTTTAGGAAAGAGTATAAATGCTTTTACAAGGAAATAAGATGGAAATAAACTTTTTTTCATATACATTCATTCAGGATATGCTGTATATAAGTAAGATAGAGAATAATCCAAGAAGGCAAAGACATATATTATCATATATGATAAAAAGATAATTCATCTTGATTACATGTTTTTATTCATAGCTGATAGTTTCTTCTTCCCTTCGTTTGAATACAAGGGACTTGGAAATTGTGAAAGACAAACATTCAAACAATTATTTTTTCAGTATCAGAAACATTTATTCCTATTTCCTTCAAAACATATCTTCTTAATCCAGGGATATGGACATTAGCAATGAAATCAGCCCAAGAAATGCCTCCCACATCAAAATCAAAGCTCTGCATCTCCTCTTTGGACATCTCTTGCATAAGCTTTTGCGTATTTGTGTCATCAAACCTGGTACAAAATCATAAGAAACTTACTAACGGATTTAGATACCTGTTATCAAATGTCTGAATGCATATTGAAACAGTAGAGAATGATATTTCCTTAATCAGTTTGCAGGTGCAGAAAACTCACCTTCCACCATAAAGCGTGTAAGGCGCATATAAAGTAGCTAAATAATTGAATTGCTCAGCATATTTCGTGAGCATATTCTTCATTCTTTGAGGTAACTTTTCACCCTTTTGAACAATGTCACTCAAGATATAGGTTGAAAATTTATCGACATCTGTGAACAGCTTCATTGATTGGGTTATTATAGGCCTCCCTTTGGAATCGGAACAAGGAGAAGCATCGAAGTGCTCGTATATAGACCTTGCAAGGTCCTTGAAGAAAAGTGGGTTCGAACAGGATGAAACAACATGGTATGTGTGTATCCCAGCATCAATGCTCTGCCCGTGCTTAGCCATAGCTGCCAATGTTGCATTCACGACCATGTCAGCTGGAACCTATACCAATACTAAGAGTTTTTAGGATCACCAAAGTTTCTAAATTCAATATTTTCAAAGTATTCTAGACAGAAATTTCCGTTTAGGATCCTCAGTTTTCTACTATTGGAACTTTAGTTACCCGAAGGCAACAGAGAAGATCACAGATATTGCTAGAAGTACCAACTTTCTTTATTAATCAAGATAACCAATATCCTTCAACCCTACCCGTTAAAAGGCTCCATAAATCTAATATTCTAATCTGCCTTACCTATAGAAACCTTGTATAGAGTAACCAAACAACTCTGTTCTAACCTAGCCTAGCTTCCCCGGCTCGACACAGTCCGAAAAAGGAGACAAACTGAAAACATGATAGGCTCAAGCTCCTATGCGTGATAGAACTTGTAGGCGTCTAAAAATGCCTATAGGTGTCCGCACACAACTCGAGACAAAGAGAAGACCAGAACGGCCAACGCCAGGTGGCACGCGTGCTCACCGGCAACCACCAAGGAGCCCGCATGCTAATCAGCCAACAAATGGTAAACCAAGTGACCCGCGTGTTCACCGGCCACCTCTAAGTGGCCCGCGCGCTCATCAGCCAGTGGCCACCGCCAAATGGCCCGTACGCTCACCGGCCACCGGAACAACAAACCAAGTAGCCTGCACGCTCGTCGGCAACCGTCAAGCGATTCGCACGTTCACAAAACACATGAAGTGAATCGAGCAAGCATACCAGTCAACGAAACGACAAAATACGTGTAAACAACGCAACAAAATAAGAAAACCGGAAAACCAGAATAGCTTCTAGCGGCCGAGTCGTACCAAAATGGACTCGGCCAGGGCCAGTGGCTCGGCTCGTACCAAAATGGACTCGGCCAGGGCCAGTGGCTCGGCCAGGGCTGAGCCACCAGGCAGTGGCTCGCGCGTAGGTTTCATCCAAAAACACTCTTTTTCGGTTGTCACGGATTCTCTTGGGATTTGTTCATTCCGGAGCATTCCAACTGATCTGATACTATGGTTAAGCAGTTATTAACTTAAGATAAGGATGAATCCCTCATTTTTATTCAAAAACCCCCAACCGAAGCCTATAAATACGAGCTCGAGTGCTCATTTCTCCAGATCGGGGAGATCAAGAGGGTGAGATGTTGTCAAAATTAAGAGTGAAGCCATGAATTTTAGAGGGTTAGCAGATCTTGGCGAAGTTTCTCCATAAACAAAAAGAGAGTTCAAGAGATCTGAAACCCCTTCCCCCATATTCCTTCGGATTTAAGCTTGGTCTTAAATCCCGACAAGAGTCGTAATCTCGCTGGGTCGGGATTACCACTTCAGCGAATACTTCCTTCGTGAAGTAGGAGCTTTGATTTTCAATCTGTCAACCGGATCTGATCCGCGACGGTCCACGGATATCAACGTCCCTGGCACAGGCAAAGATCCCATGCAAAACAGAGACTAATAAATAGGATCTGTGTGTAGTTTGACAAGAGTTGTAATCTTTCATTTTCATTGTAAAAGAGATCTTATAAAAAGATCAATTTTTTTATTCATTTGAGTTTATTGTAACGATTAAAGTTGTAATAGATTCAAGGCAATGAAAACATCAACTTTTGACCCAAACACGCTGACGATCACAGTGGGAGCCAACAGCTTCGCTGCCAAAGTTGTCGTGCCGCAACCACGGATCCAGATCCCGGTTTACGAAGAAGTCGAGTACGAATTCGACCAACTAAAGTTCGAGGAGTATTTTTCGCCCTCCTCCTCCAGATCCTCCGTCCCTCGCAAGCGCGGGAAGATCAAGGCCCTTGTTACTGCTGTCATCTCGCCTTACAATGCCCCTCCGGCCTCCAAAGAAGTCGGATCTGTAGATTTGGACTCCTCCTCAATCAAGAAGATAGCCGCTGTAGCTGCGCCAAATTTATCGAAAAGAGCTTACCAAATGTAGCGCCAACGCCTCGCGCACCAATTCACCAAGGCTTTGGAGCCTTTTGACGGGATCTGCTATGAGGCGGATCTAAAACTCAGAAGGCACCGAGTGCTCTAGTAGCAAATAGATGTCCTCTTCTCTAAACCAACAGCGAATGAATGGATCCAAGTAAAATGAACCTGCTCAACCCTCGAGGAGCGCATTCAGAAGCACAACGCCTTGATTGCGCACGCACAGATTCTCATGCAAGAAGCGCAGAAGTTGAAGCGAAAAGAGGTGATCAAGAAGCCACCTAAACCACATCAAGTCTGAAAACCAATGTCTGAAACGGCGTAGATAAAAAGTCAAACAGCGCACGGAACTGCCGGAATGCATGAACCACCATCTGGTGGCTTGGCCAAAACCGAGCCACCAATTGGTGGCTCGGCCAAGGCTGAGCCACCAAGTGGTGGTTTGTACTGGTTCGCACCCGGTTCGGTTTGGTTCGCACCCGGTTCGGTTCGGTTCGCACTCGGTTCGCCTCCGACAGCCCCTGTTTCTGTCCCGATGAATCACACACCTTCGGTAGAGCCCCACGGCGGCGTGAACTTGTCCTGATTCAAGATGAGGATGGCAGATCACCTTGGTCCTTTGCATGAGGATCGAGACAAAGTTCCGATCAAAGAACGCTTGGGTCCGGTGACTGAACCCTGAGTAACTACTCGAGCTAGGGGTCGCACACACCCTCGTGATAAATCACAGCCTTTCTATAATGGAAAAACTCCTGTAACTGATAGCCTCGGACTGCAAGTCAGTATCCAAGAACCCGTTAAGGTCCCGTGCTCACAAAAGCGTGGCTCCAAATGTGTGACTCTTGAGAACACCATCAAGACAACAAGTCCTCAGAAGGAAACGTGTTCGTCAGATGACGACGTTATACCTGAAAAGTCGTGCCAATACATGATAGATTTCTCCGGTCATCATGCCGATGAGTTATACTATTTGGCTGGGGGTACGAACAGATCTCGAAAGAGAGATTCCTGGAAGATGGACTTTCATTATCTGTGTACCAAGATAATCAGGGCAGTATTATCAACATGTAACTGCCCCAAGACCACTTCGCAGAGGGTCTCGGTATTTAAGAGGATCTCTAACGGAATGACTAAGTCCAAGCCAAAGCATTTCCGTAAGAAACGATCGACCGTTCAAGGTGACAAACTTCCAGAAGTCATAATTAACATGGCTGATAAAGGAAAGTCAGCTCGACCTTCTAGTTATGACCCTCTCATATCGCATCGTCTAACTCGGCTACACGCAAGGACTACTAGACGTAGGGATTATTAGAGAATGCAGAGGGGATTATCCTCGGATGATGAAGTATCAGATGCTAACTTTACAGTTGCTTCTGACAAAACGGTATCCAGTTCGGGATAATCCCGTGAAGTGTTTATGATTAACACCAAAGAAGTAGCCAAAATGGTTGAGGATGCTCTAGCCAAGCAAAAAAGAGAACTTTAAGTTTGAAATAGAAATGGCTATGCTGCGGATGAGGGATCAGCATGGCCAATAGATTCGAGCATTGTCTAATCCAATTGGTGAATCTAGTCGCCACACTAATGCTTACCGGATAGGTGACGATTCAGACATGGACAAACACCTTGATGCAGATAACCCTCCTGTTGATCAAAAAATTAGAGGTGGCCCTACTAAAGGTAACGACGCTGGAGGTGGTCCCACCGAAGATGACAATACTGGGGGTGTCCACGTTGCTCCTCTTAGAAATCATCCAAAGCATGATAAAGACGAGGACGAGAAGATGAAGGGTCTCGAGAGCAAAATAAACGCTCTGATGTCTGCTCGAGAGGTGAAGAAGATCGATATTCTGTGTCCTTACCCAAGCGAGTGGGATTCGATCCTATACCCGGTGAAGTTCAACCTGATCAACTTCACGCCGTTCGACGGGAAGGGCTCACCCACTCAGCATCTGATCTACTACAAGTTCTACTTGGGCATGATCTCCGGTAATGAAGCCCTGATGGTGTAGTCATTCATTAGCATCCTTCGTGGACCTGCCTTCAATTAGTACTACCGTCAAACCCGAAAGTATCAACAACTAGGAAGACCTGGAGAGCCTATTCCTCACTCACTTCTTTGATGATGACGCAAAGGTGTCAATCAGGACACTCTTTGATGAGAAACAAGAAGACGACGAGACAATCAACGACTTCATCAAGCGCTTTTGGAATAAGATGATGAACTGCTAAGATCCAATCATAGAGGAATTCATCCTCCAAACTTGTCATAACAACCTCTCTTTGGACGTGTTGAAAGTTATGGGAGTAGCACCCTTCAATACATGAAAAGAGTTGAAGATATACAGAAAGTGGGCCGAATGCTTCCTCAGAAGGAAGAAGGCCGAGAGGAGCCAACCGACGGCTAATCCTCCGAACTCGAACTTCATCTCCCGTGGTAAGGCGAAGGCACATGCAGTAGTTGTTGACGTTAATCAAACGTCACAATAACAACCCCGAAGATAGCAAAAGACTTAAGATCCAAGACTCCAAAAAGAGTACTCCTTCAAGGACGAAGACATTCCAGCCATTTTCGAATCCCTCCTTGAAAATAATAAGATCAAGCTACCACCTATCGCAGATCAGGAGGAAGCTGACAATACTTTGGATCCAAAGTACTGTGCGTACCACAGGAGGGTTCTTCATCCTACTAAGGCTTGCTTTACACTTAAAAATAGCATCCAAACCTTTGTAGGTATGAATTTTGATCTCCCGAAACAGGTATTTCGTTTGTATTGATAAGAATAGCTTATTACAAACTAATGAATCGAAATTACAACAGAAGCGGAGGGAAGACCCTCCTTGTTTAACGTGGGAACTTTGGTAGCGATAGGACGCCTCGCTCGGTTCTCGCACCGAGTCTGCTTCCCTTGGACGATCCGATTAAAGTTGCAGGCAAGCTTCAGTACGCAGTAGAAGCTTGTGCTGATCGAGTTCGACTATACCCGAGGCCAAACGGGGGCTTAGGCTTGTCGACTGACCGCTTGGAGATAGCTACCATGCAAGAGCTTGTAAAGAGCCTAAGAGCCTCAAGTCTGAGAGTTCAGACG